TTCGCGGAAAAGTTCTATCTTCTTATGTCATTCGGTGCATCTTGACAAATGCATGCAAAATAACCTAATTTCCTATTTTAATTTGACGTATTTTTCGTCCATATTGTTGTTATTGGCAATTTTACTTGCGGGGACGTTGTGAACAACAATATATTTCCTTACTTTTATTTCTTTCATCAAACCAAATATTGAAAATATTATTTTTTTATCCTGAAGTTCCCTACAAAAAACTGGTATATCTTGAAAAACGCAAAAAATCGCAATTTGAGACCTATTGGAATCAATTTAGAAGGCTTTCATTTATATATTTCAGTTGTCAAAAGATCAGACAAATTTAAACATTTTAGTAAAAGTCTATCTAAAATGACTTATGTGTAAAAAATAGAAAAAATTCTTTTATTATAGTCAAATATGTAAATTTTGAATCGCTACACAAACGTATTAACAAATATTATTTATTAAATAAATAGCGCACACCACCGTTAATACTCTCCATGTTTAATTTTTATGTTTATGCTTTGAATTTAGCGGTTTTAAACGGTTTAAAATACGACTTGATTCATTAAATTTTTTTATTTCTTTAATTTTATTTTCAAAGTTTAGAGTTTGGCAACGATTTTCACCGCTTTTAAGACACTTTTACGCAAAAAATCTTACAGATTCATAAAATTTGACATGTTTTCTTTTTAATGACATCAAAAAAGATTTTATTCTCCAAAATTGAAAAAATTACTTTTTGCCCAAAAACTGTCCAAATTACCTATAGTGCATTGGTACAAAATTTACGAAAATCGGTTAAATATTCGCTCAGTTATTTGCATTTGAATTCAACCGTGATGCAAAATATAGCTACTGTTCGGTGCTGGGCGCCTATTACCTGAAAATGAAAATCACACAAAAATGCATCTTTTACCCAAAGGCAAGTTTTCATCTTTCAAAAGGGCTGCTGAATACTAAAGCATACTTTCAGGCGGAGGGTATAGTGCTTAGCGAATATTATAATGTTATGAGTCACCCTATCACATTGTTTGTATAATTTTGTGAGTCACCCTATCACATTGTTTATATAATTTTGTGAATAACCCTATCGCAATATTTGTTTGTATAATTTTGTGAATCACCCTAGCACATCATTTCTGATAGGGCGATTCACAAAATTATACAAACAATGTGATAGGGTGACTCACAAAAAATATAATATTCGCTGAGCGCTATACTCTCCGCCTGAGAGTATGCTATAGTATTCAGCAGCCCCTTTGAAAGACGGAAAACTTCCCTTTGGTAAAAGATGCATTTCTGTGTGATTTTTCATTTTCAGGTAATAGGCGCCCAGCACCGAACAGTAGGTATATTTCGCATCATGGTTGAATTCAAATGCCAATAACTCAGCGAATACTTAACGGATTTTCGTAAATTTTGCATCAATGGGTAGGGGAAATTGTAAACTTTTATTCCATATTGTCAATAGCGATTGAAATTAATGTAATATGACAGAAAATTGGCATTTTGTGAAAGTTCGAAGATATTGTAAATTTCTACTAATTTTTTGTTAAATCAAAACAAAGTTGTATAGGCGATTTGGGCAGCCTATACCGTGGGTCAATATTAATGTTTACGCCTTTATAGGTCTCGGAAAAAATATTTTTAATAAATCTACGCCTTTATAGGTCTCGGAAAAAATATTTTTAATAAATCTACGCCTTTATAGGTCTCGGAAAAAATATTTTTAATAAATCTACGCCTCGGAAAAAATATTTGTAATAAATCTACGCCTCGGAAAAAATATTTGTAATAAATCTACGTCTCGGAAAAAATATTTGTAATAAATCTACGCATCGGAAAAAATATTTGTAATAAATCTACGCCTCGGAAAAAATATTTGTAATAAATCTACGCATCGGAAAAAATATTTGTAATAAATCTACGCCTCGGAAAAAATATTTTTAATAAATCTACGCCTCGGAAAAAATATTTTTAATAAATCTACGCCTCGGAAAAAAAAAATTTTATAAATCTACGCCTCGGAAAAAATATTTTTAATAAATCTACGCTTCGGAAAAAATATTTTTAATAAATCTACGCCTCGGAAAAAAATATTTGTAATAAATCTACGCCTCGGAAAAAATATTTTTAATAAATCTACGCCTCGGAAAAAATATTTTTAATAAATCTACGCCTCGGAAAAAAAAAATTTTATAAATCTACGCCTCGGAAAAAATATTTTTAATAAATCTACGCTTCGGAAAAAATATTTTTAATAAATCTACGCCTCGGAAAAAAAAAAAAATTTATAAGTCTACGCCTCGGAAAAAATATTTTTAATAAATCTACGCCTCGGAAAAAATATTTTTAATAAATCTACGCCTCGGAAAAAATATGTTTAATAAATCTACGCCTCTAGAAAAAAATATTTTTAATAAATCTACGCCTCGGAAAAATATTTTTAAGAAATCTACGCCTCGGAAAAAAAAATTTTATAAGTCTACGCCTCGGAAAAAATATTTTTAATAAATCTACGCCTCGGAAAAAATATTTTTAATAAATCTACGCCTCGGAAAAAATATGTTTAATAAATCTACGTCTCGGAAAAAATATTTTTAATAAATCTACGCCTCGGAAAAAATATGTTTAATAAATCTACGCCTCAGAAAAAATATTTTTAATAAATCTACGCCTCGGAAAAATATTTTTAAGAAATCTACGCCTCGGAAAAAAAATTTTATAAGTCTACGCCTCGGAAAAAATATTTTTAATAAATCTACGCCTCGGAAAAAATATTTTTAATAATTCTACACCTCGGAAACATATTTTTAAGAAATCTACGCCTTTACATGTCTCGAAAAACATATTTTTAATAAATCTACGCCGTTTTTAATACATTTTGTACCAATGGGTCGAGGAATTGAATTCTATGGTTGAAATAAAAAATCAAAATTTTTAGATTTTTTAATTTATTTTATTTTTTATTTTGTTTTCTTTAAATATATTTATTTGTTTGTTGGTTTTTGCTTGTTTATAGACTAATATTGCGAAACTAAACATCGACAAATCATTGATTTGAAATGAAAATAATATACAAAGGGGGTTAGGGTAAAGAGATACAGAATTATATATTTTTTATTATTTTGCAATAATTTTTTTTATATAAAATTTAAAAAAATAAATATACAATTTTCAAAAACATTATTTTGATTATTAGTTACTACTTTTTTGAGACGCATGGGGTGTGTGTTTACTTTTTGTGTACAATATTCTTTGTGACTAGTTTAACAAAAAAAAAAAAAAAATTAAAAGACAAAAAAATAAAATTTTTTCACAATGAATTTCAACAAATAATTCGAAATTATAAACATAAATACAATATTTAGTTTTTAATCCATATGGAATGTTTTTTTTTATTGTTATAGTTGTTGTGGTGGTTATGGTGTTTTAAAAATCAATAATAAATGAAATCAAATCGAGTGGAAGACAGTAGAGAGAGCTTGAAAACAAAAAATAAATAAAAGCTTGTGGTGTAAAGAGGAGGAAGACCGTGAACGTGAAAACTCAAGGTTGGATGTGGAAGCATTTTTGTTTTAAATTGAAAATAATGTGCATGATTTATTTTGTATGGTAGAGATTAACACCTTATGAGAATTTGTTTTTTTTTTTTGGTTAAAGGTGTGGGGATAAGGCACAATATTATTTTTTTATTACATAGAGAAGGTGTACATTAATATTTAGTTGCGTAAATATAATAGCTAGAGAATTTTTTTGTATATTACAATTTTATTTACTTAAATAATAATAATAAAAAAACAGTAGATTTTGTGTATAAAGAAAATTTAAAATTTTGAAAATTAAAAAATAATTTCTTCTATAGAAAAAAAGCCTCCATAGACAACTTTGCAATTTTTTTTATAGAAAAAAGTGTCCACAGAGAACTGTGGAATTTTTTCTATAGAAAAAACAAGTAGAAAAAAATTCCACAGGACCCTGTGGACTCTTTTTTCTATAGAAAAAAATTCCACAGGACCCTGTGGACTCTTTTTTCTATAGAAAAAAATTCCACAGGACCCTGTGGACTCTTTTTTCTATAGAAAAAAATTCCACAGGACCCTGTGGACTCTTTTTTCTATAGAAAAAAATTCCACAGGACCCTGTGGACTCTTTTTTCTATAGAAAAAAATTCCACAGGACCCTGTGGACTCTTTTTTCTATAGAAAAAAATTCCACAGGACCCTGTGGACTCTTTTTTCTATAGAAAAAAATTCCACAGGACCCTGTGGACTCTTTTTTCTATAGAAAAAAATTCCACAGGACCCTGTGGACTCTTATTTCTATAGAAAAAAATTCCACAGTTCTCTGTGGACTCTTTTTTCTATAGAAAAAAATTCCAAATTTCTCTGTGGACACTTTTTTCTTTAAAAAAAAAAAAATTTCTATAGAAAAAAATCCACAGTTCTCTGTGGACCCTTCTTCGATATAGAAAAAAATCCACAGTGACCTGTGGACTCTTTTTCGATATAAAAAATTCTTCATGTCCGTGGAGACTCTTTTCTATATAAAAAAAAATTCCTTTAAATTTTCAAAATCCCTTCTACAACAAAATCTACTGCAATTTTTTCTTCATTAATTTTTTTTTTGAACTTAATTTCTAAAAAATTAAGAATAATTTCGTTTTGTTTTTCTTCTTATTTACACATTTTTTATTCACTTCAATTTTTGTTCTATTCATTTGAGCACTTGTTTGGATTTGAGTTTCAAAATTTATTTATTTTTTCCTTAGACACTTAGTTTGGACCGACAATAATACTTCCAGATATACATACATATAAATTAAGATCAAATACACAAGTACATAATGTAATTTAATTAATTAAATTAAACTAAAAAAAAATAAAAACATATTCACAGTTGACAACGAAAAACTTTTATTTTTTTGGAAAAAAATAAAGTTTTTAAAAAAAAATTTCTTCTTTTTCAGTTAACAAAAACATTTTAAAATAACAGAAAAAAATAACTTCGCAAAGATGAAGAGGATTTTTTTAAATATTTTTTTCTAATCTACAGTTCAGTCGTTATTTCATCTTGCGGTCGAAAACCTAATTTATAGAACTCATCCTCCAGCCACAATGAACTAGCATTGAGATCTGATATGAGATTGCCACTTTTCAGGGTGTTAAAGCTACTGCCAAACGGGTCGGAGGGTCGAGGCTCCTCGAATTCGTGCAAACTAATCAGCGAACCGAAAAGATGCATTTTTTGTGCCTTTCCACCACCTCCGCTGCCGCCACCACATCCTTTACCACCATTCAAATTCGATGAAGACTGCAATGTGGCACTCTGCTTGTAGAACCCTCCACCGCCCACCTTCTGACGATACACTGAGGTGGCATCAAATTCATCAACATCAACACCATTTGAATTCTGAAAGAAATCTATCAGCTGGCCTACCTGAGGCCTATAACGTTCGAGCACCTGCTCAGACCATGTATACAAACGATTCCAATCGTGTGGAGCGGCTGGTATCAACTCGATCGGCCTATTCAGTAAAATCAAAATCCTTGCCAAATCTCGCACAATCGGGCGATATGAATTCGCTGCTGCCACATCTCCAGCCAAATATAATTTTCGTATCTGTCGACGGGTATCATTTAACATGGCTAGAAAATATTCCGCATTTGGTCGCATATCATTCAGTTGACGTAGAAAATCCGAACGATCCATGGTATTTTCATTAATCAATTTCTGTTTAATGGCCTTACGTCTGCGTCGACGTTTCACCAGCATCACAGCCACGGCGAGTATGGACAGACAGACCAGAAAGCCACCAAACATGCCGGCCAAGGCGGCCATGAGAGCACCTGAATAGCCAATGGGTACACATACGCGACCCATGAACTCTGTATGTGCCGACCATTGATCAACGTAACCAGATGGACAGCGTTCGACACACTGGCGGGTATCGGTGACCAAATAAAAGGTGCACTTGATGCAACCCTCTCGATTACATTTCAAACAGTGTGAACTTGTAGTGAGTGGACAACCTGGAAAGAAACAAAGAAAAAAAAAAGAAAATCAAGGAATTAGTAAAGGTTTCGAAGATCAATATCAGAGAAAAAAAAATATGAAGAGGAAGACAAAATAAATATATAAATGGAATCCTTTTTAAAAATATTTTTTGAAGACTAGACAAGGCGTGGATTTTTTTAAAATTTTTTTTCCAAATCTACACAAGGCATGGATTTTTTTAAAAAATTTTTTTCAAATCTACACAAGGCATGGATTTTTTCAAATATTTTTTGAAGTCTAGATAAGATGTGGATTTTTTTAAATATTTTTTGAAGTCTAGACAAGATGTGGATTGTTGAGGGCTATTTTTTTTGGCTCTCAATATTGACTGTCTGTAAAAATAAACAAAACCAAAATTTAAAATGTAACGATAATTGGTTCAAAACAGTATTGAGAGTTTGTCTGTCAAACACTTCAACTATTTACCACAATGAAAATAGTTTACCTTCTCTTAATGCACATTCCATGTTTTCCTGTAAATATAGACTCCAAGTAAACTATTCGTTTTTTTCTTCTTTGGTACAATTGTCATAATAGCTATAATTGGCTTAAATGCAAATGATCCCTCGATAACTTCATTAAGGGAACCCTTAAGGGTCGAGAGAGATCACTTAACACGGTTCAGTGAATTCCAGGGAATTCTATTAAAATGGTGTTACATGGAATAAATTATACTGGGCATCTGACTGATAACTCAATTTTTTGTTCTAATTTCAATTCAATACTTTGTTTGTTTGTAGTTCTAACAGAAGTTGGTCTAATTTATTCAAAATCATGTTTTAAAAACCAAAGTAAAAACTAATGATAATTTGTTCATCATTCTGAAGTCAAAAAGCTAAATGTTCTAATTGTCATTTGAATAATAATGGAGGAAAAGGGTGGGTGTAATGTTATGGTGATAAATTAATTTTGAAGAAAAAAATATGTTAATAATTCTATTTTTGAAAATTAAAAAAAAAAAATATATATATATTTTGAAGCCTCGATCCACGCCTTGAAAAAATTTCCTAAATAGCTCAATTATACCCCAACAATGATCCTAACTTCAAATGTAAAGCTTCCAGCTCTATCGGTTCACCCATATCTAAATTGTACCAAATATAGTACCATATAGTAGTTTCCGTACACATGAGTACACGCTTTTCAAACTCTCCTCATATCGACCCTACCTCTCAATCACATTTAGTAGTTTTTGGTACTTTTCGTACCGTTCTAGTACGAATTTTCAAAAACCCAGCCTTATCTGTCACATTTGGACCAAGAGTGACCCTCACCCAAAATTTCAAGATTCTAGCTTGAGCCGTTTAGTCTGCGCGTTGATGAATCGTTAAATCAGTCAGTATATATATATATATATATATATATGAAAGCTATATCGAAATCTAAACTGATTTCATCGAAACTAGTTTTGTGCATATCGGCCACATTTTGAGTACTTATAATCGGGAGAAAATATATATAGGATTTCAAAATTTTCCACACGCTAGATTATATTAACTTCAGTACGTTGTGCAAAATATTGTGTAAATCGGCCTACTTTTGGGGGAAGCTATATCAAAATCTGAACCAATTTCAATGAGACTTGCCGAAATTGTGTGGCAATCAGACAAACTTTGGGTCTTTAGTGCACAATTTACATAAAATCGGATGAAAAAAAATATATAGGAGCTATATCTAAATCCGAACCGATTTTCCCGAAAATTAACACACATCTTTCCAGACCTAATTCATTACGCTATGCCAAAATTCGTGCAAACCGAAAGATATATATTGACTTTGATGCACCATTTACATAAAATCGGACGAAAATATATATGGAAGCTATATCGAAATCTGAACCGATTTTCACGAAACTTAACACATATCACTCTAGACTTAATTAAGTACGCTATGCCAAATTTATTGCATATCGAAAGATATATAGATACGTTGGTGCACCATTTCTATCAAATCGGACGAACATATGTATGGGAGCTATATTTAAATCTAAATCGAATTTCACGAAACTTAGCACACATCATTCTAGATTCAGTTCAGTACGCAATGCCAAATTTCGTGCAAATCGAAAGATATATATTGACTTTGATGCACCATTTACATAAAATCGGGCGAAATTATATATGGGAGCCATATAGAAATCAGAACCGATTTTCACGAAATTTAGCACACATCATTCTAAACTCTATTCAATATGCTATGTCAAATTTCTTGCATATCGCAAGATATATAGAGACGTTGGTGCACCATTTCTATCAAATCGGACGAACATATGTATGGGAGCTATATTTAAATCTGAATCGAATTTCACGAAACTTAGCACACATCATTCTAGATTCAGTTCAGTACGCAATGCCAAATTTCCTGCAAATCGAATAATATATATGGAAATTGGTGCACCATTTACATTAAATCGGACGAATATATATATAGGGGCTATATCTAAATCTGGACCGATTTTCAGGAAACTTAACACACATCCTTCTAGACCTAAGTCAGTGCCAAATTTCATCCAATTCGGATCATAAATGCAACCTGTTCTTTATTTACAATTTAACATGGACAGACAGACGGACGGACATGCCTAAATCGACTTAAAAAGTGATTCTATGCATATTCTCAAATGGAACCATGTGTCTATCTCGTTTCCTTTTGCCTGTTACAAACATTTGCACAAAGACATAATACCCTGTACCAAAGTGTGGTGAAGGGTATAAAAAGCAGGTCTTGTTTAAAAAAACAAGACCTGCTTTTGAAAAAATATTATTTGAATAAGCCATGCCTTCAAAAATATTTTTAAAAAATCCAAGCCTTTTTATAGACCTCAAAAAATATTTAAAAAAATCCACTCCTTCTTCTAGGCCTCAAAAAATATTTTTTAAAAATGTACGCCTTTTTATAGACCTAACAGATATTTTCAAAAAATCAAGGCTTAATTTGAACGCTGTTTGAACTTTCACAGAATTTTCATGTTTACTTCGCCCCTTAAGTGCCTCCTGTCCATTATCTTCAGTTTCCTTTGTGAAAATTAATTTCATTTGTTTAAAATATCTCTTCGACACATAAAAAATGTTCCATTTAAATGTTTTTTAAGGTATTTTTTAAGGTATATGACTTCGGATGGTTGTTAAATCCATTTTTTTCGAATGGTGCTAGAAGATGTTTTCAAAATTACGAAAAAAAAACTAAGAAAACCTAAATTCCAACACGTCTCATTGTGGTACGTTTGTATGACGACTTGTTGTTGTGACTTTGTTTTTTTTTTCAGATTTGTCTGCAAACATTTAACCATCCATAAAGCTGATGTTGTTGTTGTTACTACCTGCCGGCCATTTGGAGCCACACTAAAGTTGAGACCAAAAGACTACAAAATCCCAAGCAATTCATTCCATTGGATAAGATAGTCCAAGCCAAAACAATCGGTGCAACGTCGTCTTCTCGAAATCACCCAGAAGATTGTCGGGGCATTTAACAACTCAGGTGTAGCATCTACCTGTTAGCTATCCTTTGTCTAGTTTTTTTTCTTACTTACCATTTATTCGTCGTTTCTTCTGCTTTATCTTAAGGCGGTAAAGAAGAAGCTCTTAAAAGGGATTTATTTGCTAGTTAATCATTTGCCATCCATTATTAACTTGTTTATTTGTTAATAAGCCGCAAAATTACATCCTTACAGCAAAATAGCCAAGCACGCACACAAGACACTCCATACATGGAAGACACAGACAGACACTTACACACACATACATGTGTAATGTGTTGATATTACCAATATCTCATTCAAGTGTAACCACCATTCATCCATACAACGCTCTGGCTGGCTGGTTGGCTAGCTAGTCCCGTCTGTCTGTCTGTCTATCTGTCCGTCCGTTGTTATGTCTGTTGCCTGTTGGCAAATAATCCAATAACACATCCAATATCATTTATGTTCGGCTCGAGTGTCCAATAATATTCGACCAATCGACCGACCCCTTTGGGCAAAATTTCATATGAAACGGTGCAGAATGGAGTGGCAAGCCAATCTGTGTAAGAAGGGTCGAAATGCAAAAATCTGCTGTCTGCAAATTGGTCCCAGAAACGGTCTCACATAGAACTGCCATGTAAATGATAGTCATTGCTGGTGATGGGGTAACTCAGGAGGTCGGATCATAGTTAAGAATAGAATAAGTCGATAATTGAAATAATCCTCAATAGCCCTATAAATACTAAATACCTGAAAAAAGTCTTCTTTAAAAAATCCACGCCTTATTTGGTGGCTTGAAAAAAGTCTTCTTTAAAAAATCCACGCCTTATTTGGTGGCTTGAAAAAAAGTCTTCTTTAAAAAATCCACGCCTTATTTGGTGGTCGGCTGGAAAAAAAGTCTTCCTAAAAAATCTAGGCCTTATTTGGTGGTCGGCTTGAAAAAAGTCTTCTTTAAAAAATCCTCGCCTTATTTGGTGGCTTGAAAAAAGTCTTCTTTAAAAAATCCACGCCTTATTTGGTGGGTTGAAAAATTATTTTTATAAAATCCACGCTTTCCTGTAGCCTTCAAAAATATTTTTTAAAAATCTTAAATTTTGAATTTAATCACTTTTACCTTTATAACGGCTAAGGTGTTGATACCTGTCCACTACGTACCAAACACCACCACCAAGTATTTTTGCCTCTTTGCAACTGGGATTATTGTAATTGAAAACTTGTTGTTGTTATTGTTGTAAAGACCAAAGAAGTATCGCTTGTAATTACTGACATTACAACAAGGTGGGACGTGCGTTGTGTAAATATTAATTGAATTACATGTGTAATACAAAACAAAAACAACACATAGATAGATAATATGAGACCAGAACGGACGTCTCTGTTTGCTGGCTGTGAACAGCAATTGGGAAGAAGGCTTTCAAATGCAAAGACTCTACCATGGGGCAGGGTGGAAATAGAGTGGAAATTAAGTTGTTCGGAATTGTGTAGCAAGGAGATTAGAATACTTTGTTGTAAAAAGTT